AAACAGGTCTGCAGGCCCTTGTACAGTACCAATCGCCGACCTCAGCTCAGACTGCGCAGCAATACCTGAACGGCAAGACCGTCTACGTGGGGACGGACCCAATTTTGCCTCTCACCCTCTACATCCAGTACTCTCACCTCGAGCAGCTGACCATCAAACACAACTCTGCCTCGGCCAGGTGCGGCATCTCACCAACCAGTCAATACCACCATCTCTCTCTATCTTCTGACACATGCGGTGTTGTCTTGGCCCACAGGGATTACACTACGCCATTGCCGTGGGGCGCGCAGCAGTACGGCGGTGGCTACGGGGGTGGCTACCCCCCGCAGGGCGGCTACGGGGCTCCCCCTCCTCATTATGGCGGCTACGGCGGTCATGGCGGCCACCACGGCGGCGCTCCAGGCTACGGTGGGCATGGCGGCTACGGCGGCGGCGAATACAGCGGTTAGGGCCTGCAATCGCGGCCAGCAAACAACAAAGCCACGGTTTAGCGCAACACGAGCACGAGTTACTGGGAACGCCGTCGTGTAGCGGTGATGGCTACCCTGCTGCCCCCCCGTCACTTGCATGTTTTTTGCAGACACGCTGGTTCGTTCCGCTGGCATCGCACGCGATCTCGGCGACTAACCCTCCCCACTGCGGCCAAAGCTCCCGCACGGGGGGGGGAGGGTAGCAACAACCTAGGGGGGGCCGCCACCACAGTCTGGTCAAGTCACACCGACACACACACACAAAGAGAGAGGTAGCATGTCAAGCAGCGATAAACCCAGCGTGGTGTATGGCCTAGGCCTGTCCGAGGTGGAGAAGGCCGCAGGGTACCCGCCCGAGCACTCACTGGGAGCCATGGCTCAGGTGTCCGCCATCGCTAACCAGTGATTGTGTTGGCCTGTGCAACGCCGCGCAGGCACAGCCTGGAGGAGGGCAAGAAGCTGCGCGAGCAGGACCCCAACATCACCCAGATCAAGGGACCCGATGAAGAGACTATCACGCCTGGCAATTGGCCCAAGACTGGTACGCCCACCACCGCACGACCCACACAGAAGCGTGTCTGAGAGATCGAGCACGCACACGTTTGCCCGCGCGGACAGGTCGGTTGAGGCCTCTGCCCGAAGATGAGGCGGCGCGTCAGAA